GTTAAATACCACGGAGCAGTGTCCTGCTTAAATGGCCCCCGATGTAGCTAGCAGCAATAAGCAGTGAAATCTCACATTGTGCGTCATTAAGCCATTGTGGTAAAATAACCATGCCAAATTCGTTACATTTCAGCTGTTGTGAAGGTTTTCGCATTTCCAGTGCATTGCTTGTACTTCTCAGTGACTCGGATGTAGCAGTGCATGTTGACCAGGTCCTAAGCGTCACACCTTCTCAGATGAACCAACGCCTGAAATTGCCGCATATGTACTGTTCGCTATACCGACCAAAGTCGTGTGTCTGTAACCTGCATTTCCGTCTTTGTTGGTTATTTCCAGAGTTAAACTTACCCGTTTTGCCGAATACACGTGTGATCGTTGATCTCATCAGAGAGATTTCAAATTATTGAAAAAATTTCCCACCTTGTTTGTCGTTTCATTAGCACCAGTATAGGTTACACTCGTAAACTTTTTGGGCACTTTCTAGACAGGTCTATGGTTGTTTTTCAAATATGAACATCGTGTATGCAACATGTTGCGACCGATCTGTTGCAGTTTCACCCCCTTTGCAAAGTACGTGACAGCTGCAGAGGTTTACCAGTAGAGTAATCCAGAATAATGCGATGAATGGTTGTTTGACAAGGTATCTGTGATTCGTTAAAAATCCGCGCTTAGAATTGGCTTACAAGCCGGTAGTTAGTCCTTTTCAACATATTTCGTTGTAGTATGGATCTGTGGGCTCTGTGCTGTAATCCCTAAGCGTATGGATAGATAAAATTATCATATTATCATATAATCTTTTTGAAATGGGGCTATCCTTGAACACATTGTGTTGGACACATTGCACAGGAGTTGAACACATTGTACAGGAGTTTGAGCCGTTTGTGGCCATTCCACGTTTGGAATCCGACGACAAAATCAACATAAGGCACGCGTCTTCACTCGAAGAAACCGACTCGATGCGACACGATGCCAGGCCGGTTCCACCTGTGTGGTCAGGGACAACGGTCATCGGTTGGCAACTGTTCCGATGACGACCGGCGCGTGTCCGTGTCCTGACATAGCGGCTAACGTGGCGTGCCGCGTGTCGACGGTGAAAGCGCGCCAAATCCCCGGGGCACCGTGTCCTTGGCTTGTCCACCTTACCGATGTTACGTTGCCTCGCGTTTCCTTTCGTCGCCACGCCATATGCTCTGACGTCCGTACCCGTCCCGTCCTTCCATAAGTGGCCGACCGTTTCGATTTCGTTTCTGCTTTCTGGGTCGTCGGTGCCTCCAGCGACGCCGACAGCCGTAGCTCTTGTGTATTGCGTTTGCCGGAAAGGCGACAGACGCTGCGCACGTCCTCGACTTCGTCCCCGGCCCCGGCCCCGTCCCCGTCCCAGCCCCATTCAAGTGCCTGCCATACCTTATTATGCGGTCATAATGCGATCGCGGCTGAGTTTGACTGTTGCCACGGCCGAATGACATAACACCGTCGCTTCATACGTCGATGGTCGTTTCCGGAAGTCACCGTCCAAACGCAAAGCACCAGCTAAGCGGTTAAAGGTCAGCAAAGCATGAATACAGACTGCCGTCTGTTATGCGATCGGTCGACAACGCTTACTTTAAACGTTATTAAAAATTTTGGGCAGTTCTTTAAGGATATTTCTGTTCTGGACCGTACTTGATTGATTTTACTGTTTCTTGATAAACTGCTAGGAAACTATCACCAAGGAGAAACTTGTGATAAAGAAGTCCCGTCATAGTGAAGCAATTTTTCAAAGTGACGTAATATTTTTAGCTATTCGTATTCTCAGCGGAAGTTTCGAGGCGATTTATGTGCTTTTAGGTGGTTTTACTTTAAAGTTCACAGATATTAATTTAGTTTAGTCTAGATTCAGAGAGTGCACAAATGCCGTTAAATCCGAAGCAAGATTCGCAACGATATTGTTTTCCAAGAGTTGACGGACTCTCTGTATGTAGCTTCAAACATGGTGCAATTGTCTTCGCTTTTTTAAATGACGAATTTTGTTTTTGTTACGGGGTAGTGGCTGTTCTTGATGCTTTTTGAATGTTTTGGGTAAATAGGCAATGCTGTAACATTTTAGTCATGGGTTTGTAATGAGAGACGCACTCAAGTTTAAGCAATATACTCTTAGTGACTTCCGTTCTCTCATCGGTCTCTTGCGCAGTTCTCCAAGTAGTTTTTTACCTTAGGTTGAAGTGGTTGGTGCCAAGGTAAACCGGATACCATAGTTCTTTCTAAAGTGCATGTGTTTTAGTTTGAATTTGTTGGCTTTGAGCAGCTGAATCTATGAGATAGATAAAATCGTGATAAAATCTTATATTTCCGCTGTACCGTGCTGACTCGTCTTCGAAGACACATCGTGTCCGGCCCACTTGACACCGATCACCTCAATATAACACCAACGACTTCAGTCACTGGTACAAACCTGGTTGGAAAATCACCATGTACCTCATGTACGACTGATGGTAGGATAGAAGTCAGTAAGAGCATAAACGCAAAAACTCCCGTGCTTATGTCGTTAGAAACTCATCGCTCTACTATTACAGCATTACCCTTATCTCCAAAGCATTCAAAATGAGTCAAGGACAATCTCCTCCCCGGAATTAAAACAGAGCTCATCATTGAAAAATGCGACCTAAACTACTGCAGATTTGACCCTACCCCCTGGCGACTCGCCACCTAGAGATGCAAGATTTACTGTCATACACTAACTGTACAGCGAATACTCATCATACTTTTCAAACTGGTAAGTGTTTTCAAGAAAGGTTTCAGTAGTCACTGTTCTTTGGATTAAACTTTAAATATTTATTTATATTACAAGTGTTTACTCATTCCAGTGTATTTTTTCATTTGATTATTTAGATAGTTGAGTTCGAATTCAGGGAATCTGCAACTACTGTTAAATCCGAAGCAAGATCTGCAGCGATCTTGCTTTTGAAATGGCAAGCCATCAGTAGAATACTCATTTTGACATAGACGACACCTGAGATAAGGTCTTTGATCTGTTATGTAGCATTTGATGCTCTGTGGCCTGATTCAGTTATTACCTAGGATCACCGAGTTATCAATAAATTGTTGCCGTTCGCCCTTTACGAGTTGACTTTACATATAACAGCGAAAATCGTCGACTATTATTTGTGACTTTATCGTCGTTGACTTACATGGAATGTTCTAATAATGCGATATTTATTTATTTAATGTTCAATTGTTTACTACAGAAAGAAAGAGACGCGCTGCAGGTTTCAAGTGCCACTCGAGCTGTGGTAGAAGCAAGGGAGCGGTGCTTACGCCGCTTCAGTCCTGTATCAAAAACTGAAAAGAATTAAAGAAAGAGACGGATAGGAACTGGAAAAAGCACATTTAAGTGAAGCTTCTACTCATTAAAGAATTTCTACATATTTCAATTAACAAGGAAAGAATG